TCGTGTGGCAGTAGAATAAGGCGATATCGTCAGTAAATGAGAGAGGAGGTTCGGGAATGCGTGCGGAAGATCGCTGCCACCTTTGTGTTTGTGGCTTATTTGTCATGGATTCATGAAACGTTTTCAATACTAAATGTTCTAAACAAACATTTTAATTAAGCTTTTGTCGTTGAAAATAATGAAATCATAACGCAATACATGCACCGTCGCATCACTTSAGCCACATTTGATGACAGAAAGAGTTCTTCTGCTCAGGAGGCCTGGTACATATATGGTCCTCTATCAGTGGTTTGGCCTGGATGAGTGTGGTGGTTCAATGTGGAGAAAAAAGGGTACGTACTTCACTTCATATGTTTTCTTCTTTCTGATCTAGATTCTTTTAAGAAAAATGACTAAAATAATAATGACGTTAAAATGATTGATGTGGGCTTCCTATGAAAGCTGTGTCACTACAAGGGGGAATTAAAGTGAGGAAGGGAGAGTGAAAAGGTTTACGGATTGGCGGGTTTCGCAAATAATTTAGCTGCGATTTCTCGGATTCAGAATAAAATTTAAACGGATTGGCGCTTCCTACAAATGCAGCGGATTTCGGATTCATCCATTTGTTTAGTCTGGATTTCGATTTCAACATGACTGGTGGTTGCAAGTTCAGAAAACCGGGGTCAGCAGGATTGAATAACGTATGCGCATGCGCATGAGCCAAATCATCAGTAGAAGTGACATGCAATCTTGTCCCAAGAGCTTAAATTATCTCCGCTGGTAAACACCAGGGAACATAATAGGTGCTGCCTGGTTAGAACGAAATTTTGGGAATTTTTGAAGCAAAGCAAGAGGACATGATTTACAAGAAGATTATTTGTGAAGAAAAAAAGTTGAATAGTTCTGGCGCATGGTAACAGGGTGCTGGCCGGGAGGAACGAAGGCTCTGGCGCCATCCTGTTGTTCACATTGTTCACAAATTCGAGGTAACTAACACCGAAATATTGGTCAAAGTTTCATTAAGAAATCATATAATAAAAAAATTAAGAAAAAATAAATTAATAAAAAAGAAGAGAGACTGGTTTTTCCATCAGGCCTTAGAGAGTGAACGTTGTGATAGAAAAATTAATACGGGAACAGAATAACTTCTTTGCGTAATATATAGCTTCAAGTATATCCGAGTAACTGATATATTGATCTGCATAGCTTTTTTCTTACTTTATATCATTTTTTCACAAACTAACTGAAAATTTTGGAGAGACTAGCACTAATGTCTCGAAACATGCACGTCTCGGCTGCATTTTTATCACAGAATCTAGCTATATATTCTAAACTGTTATCTTAAACTAAGTTATTATCCTATTATTATTAGGACCTATCATTTTATTAGTTTAGAACAAGCTAATACGGTAATAAGTTCCTGATCTTAATTAATTATGCAAAAAATTCTTACATTTATTTTTTAGATCATTTCAACTTAGTCCACTTCCCCATAATCCTCTGAGTCAAACCTAAATGTCGCATGAATAGATAGATTTCTCAATTATAATTATCTATGTCGGCTTGAAGTTTGCCTCGACAAATTTGGAGCCTTTATCTTCATGTCAGGGATTTTTCTAGGAACAAAGTAAATATGGCTTACCTATAAAGTAGCTTTCTTGTAGAAAAAAATCACAAGTACCCTCACCTGTACAGAATACATTGTAATACCAAGCTCATTCGATTGCTTCTGAAACCATTCGAGTCATTTGAGTTTAGTATTACTTCAGCTTGATATGATCAAGCCGATTCATTTTCGACCTCCTCTGAAAGGCTGAAGTAACGTAACTTCTTACAATTGTCCCCCCTCCCCTCGGGAAGAAATTATAAGGAAGGGAAAGTGAGTTACATGTCAAAACATTTAATTTTACAATAGATTTATAGTTTTCATTTTTTCATAGCCATCTACACACAACRATGTCTAATCCTTATTATTAGTGTCATTAGGGGGGTTTCCTAACGCAAGGCTTTTCTGAGATAACAAATTCATATCCAAATTGTTATATAACCAGCCCCAACCACCCCTTGGATATTTTTGTTTCAGGAAATGGTGAATAAACGGTTGCGAGTGTGAGTGCGAATCTGTAACGTCGCGTTGAGCAAATTTTTGAGTTTCAAGGTATTTACACATTTCCAGCGTTAATGAAAAAGAGAAGAATACAAATTTTTGAAACGTAAAGATATATTTAGTTACAGTATAATTGTCTAGAAAAGACGTACTGTAGACTACAGACCACAGTGTTCCTTAAAATGCATTCTTTTATTCAGTTTGATTCATAAATGTCTTTCAACGTAGGTTTAGAGTTATGCTATCCTTTTATATTTTAGCATCAAGATGTCAATAGTTGATGCTTTTAAAATAGAGAGCGGAGAAAGTAATTGGTCATTTTCATAATCAGATGTTCTTGTAGGCTTTGCATAACTTTCCTGGTGGAACCAGGATGTTTCCTTGTGAAACGCCAGGGTTAAAGTTGTTCTAAGTCAGATTACTGTTGGTCCTGTATCACCTTTTCTCTTAGAAATCAACCCTGAATTAACACGGCTAATAAGGCCAATTAATAACTTTGATAGCAGCAAATTATCTAACAGGTTTCTAACTTATAACTTCTTAAATGTATCACCCGTATCACTTCTTAAATGTGAAAACTTTGATTAGTACAGTTACAATGCAACATGCATACCAAGGCTTGGATCAAAGAGATCTAATGTGAAATAAGGCTTTTATGTACAGAAGTTCAATCGACATCCTCGTAGGTTGGATCTTCGAATTCTGCCAGGCCTACATTATTAGGGCCAGGTCCTTCTAACACATGGTACAGAGGATTAGGGCCACTATCTTTAACAGACTCTGATTCCCTCGATTCTGAAGTTGGTTGGTCTTCAGGCATTCCATTATTAGTATCAGGTCCTTCTAAAATATGGTACAAGGGATTAGGGCCACTATCCTTAAAAGCCTCCGATTCCCTCATTTCTGACTGGCTTGGATATGATCTTTTTTTAGGATCATGTATTTCAGATACTAAGTACAAAGGATTGTGGTCACTACCTTCAACAGACCCTGATTTCTTGGCTTCTGAGTTTTTCGAATTTCGATTTGCAATCGCTTTGTTCAATTTCTCGCATTCAATATCTTCATATTTCGGTGTGTCACGTGACAAGGCCTGGTGCATGCGAGAGGCGTCACCTATGTTTAGTGTTGTTGCAGCTTCATTAGGTGCATTTAGTAAGACGGTTTCTCTACGGGATAAAAAGAAACACGCCTTATTTTTAGCACAAAGATCAAATATATTTTTGGGGCTTGATGAAGAGCCTAGTACATGAATTATACTTTTACCTTTCGTATTTTGAATTCATTACTGAACGATCGGCTGCTTCAGTATCTCTGTGTTAAAATGAAAGTGGTTAACTGAATATTTGTCATGCGCAAACACAAATTGCTACAGAAACTCCGAACGACATTTTTCTGAGGAAAAGAAGATCCTACCGCATTGAGTTATTGGCACGGCTTCTTGTTCTTCTTGTTCTTCTGATCCTATATGAGTGAAATCAAATTTTACACAATCAGTGTGCGAAATCATGGAAAACAGCCATTAAAGCTTTAACATGTACTAGATATAGAACGTTTATGGTTTTGCTCGCAAATCATTAAAGCTTTAACATGTACTAGATATAGAACGTTTATGGTTTTGCTCGCAAATCCCCAATTTCTGTCCACCCAAAGGCTTTGCCCAGTCTCTGAGCAGCAGCCTGATTAGCACCCAGTTTGTTATTCAATTCCTTTCTGTTAAGGGCACTAACCAAAACAGCACCTTCTCCTCAGTTATTTTAAGACCAGTAATCATGGTATTGGTCCGACAAGGGTTTTGAACCCATACCCTACATCATAACGTACCCAGCCAGCATACCTGCACTGATATATGATTATGATGAGAAGAACAACTCCAATCAGCAAACAAACTGCAGGTATCACGATGATAACGATTCCTTTCTTTCCACTGCTGAAAGATGAATCTTTCAAGGATTCTGCATTAGACTTGAAATCATCTTGAAATCTTAGTTGTGGTGTTGATGTTTTCGTAATTATCTCAATGGCACTTGATTTTGGTTTAGGCGTTGAGGAAGCCGTTAATGGTGTTGTGACAGTTACTGTAGGAATACAGCAAGAATATAGGCTATGAACATGAGGGGGAAATCTACAGTACGGGTTTGTTCTCCGCACGCCAATAATTTTTTCCTGAATGCTCAATGTGCCAAAAAAGGGTATGTAGCTCTCTTGTCCTGCTTGTTTGAWATTCATTTTATTTCTTTTGTCTGATGTAGTTTCTCTTAAGAAAAAATAACTAAAAATAATGACATTAAAATGATTGGTGTGGGCTTCCTGTGAAATGTATCTGATCGATACTACCAGAATTGTCGGTCATTGTACGTTTATCGGTCTTGTATATACTTGCTCTAACTCTACCTATACCGGGATACGTATAACGGTTGTCAATAACGATAAAAATATTGATAATATCAACAATTACCTTACTAATGTATTACCTTCCTTTACTTTAGTACACTGCTACTGCTATATTGTCGCCTGTATGTCTTCAGGGTGTTTCGACTTTATATATTGCATGTCATAACACAATGGGTGGCACTCTGCGTTGTTTGGGGTAAAAATTGCTTACCCTCAATTGATATTTTAATTTACTCAAAATATTGGGTTAATGAATACCTTTACCCGATATTTTGGCTGAAACTAAAATGAAAAGGAAAGCGTTGCCGGCCGCTTTGTGTAAACTTCACCTAGAGGAGTAACCTTTACCTCTTCATGAATTGGGGTAAACTATTTATTTTTTAGTTTGGGGGATGGAGTGGGGCAACAAATATCTTTTGGCATCCCCTCTCCCACCAATGAGACCTCAACAGATTTTGTATTAATTGTCAAAATCTGTCTTCAAGACTTTACGTCTCCTTAGCTAACATTATCCCACCTAATTCTAAATTAACTTCTAACCGTTGATGCGTGTAAGACGACTATTTTCTAACAGTATTGATGGTTTCAACCATTCCCAAGAAAATTAGATAACAAAAGACACGGCGGCCATGTTGGAGGATATAACAAAAGAATTCAATGGCAATTCAAGTTCCTCCAACATGGMCACCGTGAAAACCATCAATATCTCRTACCAAATGTTACGACTCACCGCTCGATGCAGACCAAGATGATGTAGACGCCATTGTTGTTGAATCGGTGGACATTGTAGGTGTATCAGTAGGCGTAGTTATAGCTAGGGATTTAAGCACAAGAATACAAGTTATGCACAGGATAACAGAAACAGAGGTCAACTGATAGTGAGAATGTGGTGAGCAATAGTTGGTCGAAGCGTGCTTCCTTAGCGATATTATATTGGTTCTAACAGGATACTTTTGCTCGTGTTCCGGCCACCAAGTTCGTATCTTTACCCACCTTGTGGTATGGACACACGATATTCTGCTCTGAATCCGGAGCTGGTCTTTGATTCATCCGAACGAAAGACGAACCGTACATCACTGTTTGCTGACAATGTAAAGGGTACCGTGGTATTAAGGGGAATCG